AAACTCATTCCCATCATCAGCTTCATGATTTCTAATACTGGCCTGCTCTGGACACATGCGTAGGATGCTGCTCACATGCCGAGCAAGAGAGGCTGTGAGCAGCACAGCAAGAGAGCCAGCTGGCAGCACAGCCAGATCTGCAGCATCACACACTCTGGTTATTCCCTGTGAGTAGATGTCTTGACCTTTACAACACGTGGCCAAGAGTATAAACAGATGGGATGACAGTATGAATGATACGGTCCCATCAATCTAATCATGCAACGTCCCTGATACATCTTGGTCACCTAATTTCATATCCTCCAACAACAAGCATGGTACCCAGAAAAAGACAGGTGGCCAATCAAATCCTTCAGGTGAAAAAATTCACCTGCTTTAGAAAGGCATGTCAGGATCCTGAAGCACTTCTTCCCTCCTGTGAAAAGCCATGCAGAACAAAGGCATATTGCTTGCGCCTAAGGTGCTATGGATTTGTGCAAGATCATTCCTAGAGGAAAATCTGGTCGGTGACAGCTGCCAAAAAGATGAAAAGCCTGTTTGGAAGACGTCATATCCATGAGGTGCTCCTTTATAGGCAAAGGGAGAGAGAGTATTTGTACAGCAAGTCCTACATTTACTGCCAAGCAGCTCCCTTGCACTGAAAGGGAGCATCCATGCCCCAGCGGACATTTGAAGTCTTGCAGAGAAGACAGTGATTGCCTGAAGTTTGGAAATTCAAAAATAAAAGAGGCTTTTCACCATGGTCCCAACTCAAATCTTGTGGAAAAGCTTCCGGGCTCACTACAGGGCTGTCTGGCAAAGAGGTGAGCTTCCCCTCAATCTTTTGCATGAAGTCCTCCCAAGAGACCTGTGGGTCTTATGATAAAAAGGAATACTCCCTCTCCAAAAGTACAGGGATACAGTGAATCCACGCCATTAGTCTCCTGCAAAAAGGTACTCGGTTGAATAACCAAGCATCACACCCCAAAAGCACACTTTTTAAGATCCTTATCTCTGGAGGGTTTGATGGGTTCAGAGTTTTCCTGCACAGCTATCCAGCTGCCAACAGCCCCAGATTTCAGTCATGGCAGAAACCCACAAAGACTGCCATTGAATTCCTCATTTTTCATTATGGGAGGCACATGGCTTTTCCCCCCTCCCTCAGTGTGGATGCCAGGAGAGGAAGGCATGGGTGAGGACCAGAACAGGTTTTTCCCCGTTTTGACACACAATTGTTCAACAGCACCTTTAATTATACAAGAATAATTCTGGATACAGTTAAAGTAGCAAAGTCTTAGAGAGTCTTACATTTTCTGCTGCTAGCCATGGCATGCACTAGTCTGAAGACATCAGCCAGCAAAATAGAGGATGAAGGGCAGATCCCCTTCATATCAGCACTGATGTGCCTAAGAAGACCAGGGAGACTTTAGATCTGCCACAGACAATACAGCATCACCGCCTCAAGAGGCATCTCCATACTGACCCTGAGTTGTTTCACCAAGAGGAGATAACCCTGTCTGGTGCCATGAGGAAGGTACCTTATCCAAACAGGAAACACTAATAGTACTGTGTCAAGACATGCCACACATTTATAGCAAGGCTGTTCCTACAAGGAGAGCTGAAGAGTTTCACAAAAACACCTACTGGCCCACAATGCACTCCCCTGCCTCCTGCCCTCAGCCCCACAACCCTGCCATAAATCCATTGCCACGACACAGAAGCTTGGTCCCTGTTTGGTCAATGAATATCAACTGAAGAGATCTAACATGCAGATGTTTCCATCTGTTCTAGCTATCCAGACTTCCTATGTGAGAAATGAAAAGGAACAGGCACTTTTTAGGTGCCTCATTCTAGTGAAAATACCCAAAACGGACACTTCTAGGATCATCTTCCCAAAATAGGGACCAGGTTACCAAGGACAGACTGTATTTTCTCTCCAAGGACATCACCACCTTTGAGACTGAGACAAGCCTGCACAGCCTGAATAATCCAAGACCTCACTAAAGTCCCTCAGCTTTGCAAGACCTTGACAAACAGGACTCGTAGCTTGAGCATATAATGAAATATAGCCTTCCCCAGGCAGAAGACACATCTGCTGCATCCCCAGACTGAAGGATGTATGTTGGTCAGGAAGGGCTGGAGCACTGTGCATTTAAGATCAGCTGTGACTACAAGCTAGTGACTCCTTCTGGGCAACGGGGCTGGAAAAATTAAAGAACATCAACATCTGCAAACTTTCATGACTAAGTAGGACTTCTCTGCACACCTGACCTAGATGATGGCTTTCCAGTGCAACGAGATGGATCAAACTTTTGTCTGATTCTGTGCTGCAGAAGCAGTATCAGTACCTGAAGGCCAGGTCACCCACACTGACTTAACACCTACACAGCCTCATACACCTGCACCTGATATACCCAGGTAATACCACACACTCCTCATCTTAAGCGAACAGCAAGGGCCCTTCAGTAATGGAAACAGAAGTCTTCAAGGTTGAACACAAAGTTCTTCAGAAGTCAGTTTGAAATGAACAGAAGTAACTATAGGAATGGCCACGTGCAGAAAACCTCAACTAAAATAATTCTGGCAGTGTCTGCTTATAAGCAGACCCCAGCTGTGGGTTTTCAGGGTTGCGTGACCTATACTTCGTTGGAATAGTCAGTGTGCTCAAAATCAGGAAGTCTTCCCTGTCTGCTGTGATCCCACCATCTTTTGCTGCATTTCTGACTTCATCTAATAAGCTACTTAGATCGCAGGCTGGCTTTCTACCATCACACCTTCGGTTTCTATATTGGAATATAACCTTAGGCTTCCTCTAGTTTTCTGATGTGAATTAGTGTTTAATAGAAGAGTAAATGTCAATACACAAGTGAAAGACCCCAAAAAATCCCTGACATGTCAGAGAAGCTACAGAAAACAGCCAAACAGCTGTTCAGTCTCAGCCCATCAATTTGCCAACACTCTGGTAACAAACAATCACGCTAAATGACATTATGGTTTATGACTTGGAATTTGGAAGTTTGATGAGAAATTTCTGCAGTTGATTCATGCTTCCTGAGACTCATAACTAGCATTTCAATTACACTATTTTACTACATTACACAAAAAATTTTCCTTGTTGTTACATAAGTGTCTAGATCCAAATTATCAGAACTGATTTGAATCATATGGTGGGTGTATTTTCAAAAGAAATACATACTTTCAGGTCTACCATCTAATACTACTCTCCCGGCACTTTATAGACAGCTAAATACCTTCTGAAACACCATATGCTCACACTTCTTCCTGAAATCAGCTCTTCTGGGAATCGCCTAGCCCCTTGCAAGCACCTTGTTTCACATCCCTCAAATAAAACATGCTGTGGGGGTTGCTTACAGACAGCTACAGCCAGCACCACACTTCTTAAATTCACAGCTCCAAGTATAGGTACTAAAAGTCCCCAAGGCAAAGAACAGAGACAGCAGCAACAGCTCTGTGCATTTAAAGGACAGAGAGGTTTGGTGAGGTTGGGAGAGGAGAAGAATAGAGGCAGGTGTCCTTTGGACTCAAAACCTGTACAATATTCTCAAGTTCTGAGCTAGGCACAGACCACGCTGGCTTCATCGATGGATGATTTCAGGATGTCTCTTTCAAAAGCACCAGAGCTCTGAGATGTCAGCACCACCTAAACATACCCAAGCTAACTTGAAACAAGGCAACTGACAGGTACCCTGACAGGTACACACCTGCATTATGTGGTGCCAACAGGGCTTTGCACTCCTGTAAGGGCTGAGCACCTAAGACAGTTCAGCTGTGCCCACACGAGTTGCAATCACCTCGGTTTCAATGTAGACAAATCCTTCAACAACTATTTGTAGCACTTCTGACCTACTTTCCATCAGGTAAAAAAAATCAACCAGCTCCTTCTAGATACATACAGCACTCACAAAGTTATTGAACACATGTACCCATGCTGGGAGCTCAAAGAAATTTCCTGCTACAGTACCATATCCTTGCTCAAAATGAGTAAACGCACAACAAATTGTATTTTTTTTAAAAAAATGAGACAAGCTATTCACAGGTGGTGTCATTCTGGCACACAGCTCTGGCAGCACTGGTGAAAAGGCAGTTTTCAGCTGACCAGCTAAGACATTTGAGCTTCACAGGAATTCCCTAAAAAAAAAAAGAACTGCAATTTGCCAACTGAAATATTTTCATTCTCCACATTAGGCTGAATCTAATTACACTGTTTCCTTACAATTGCATAGTATTAAGGGCTCCTCTAAGTAAAAAGCTTAATGGCTTTCCTACTGAAATGCCCACCCTGGAGCCCTTCACATCAGTATCTCGCTGACAGGATGTTTTGAAGAGCAGGTTGAAGTCTAACAGAACTTATTTCAAGATTTCCCCATGATACAAATTTTATCATGTTCCTGGGCTCACTCACCATAATAACCTACACCGAGTCACATATTCATCGCCACACTAGCTCTGAACCCCTTAAAAAGAAAACAAAAAAGAGAAGATGAGGACACCGTGGAGTAGGGTACATGTACTTTGTTCAAGCCACAGAGGCATCTCTGCGCTGCTGGACTTTGCGCAGAGCAAGCCCAACCTGCGCTCTGGCAGGACCCCAGCTCTACTGCCCAGGAACCAGAGCAAGGTGAGTTTAATTCTGAACGGCAGACTCTGACCACTACCATCAGAACAGGGTCAAAGAGACTATTAAAAAAATAATTATTATTTTCTCTTCCTTTTCTTCCTTCCCTCCCCCCCTTCAAGGTTTTGTATGCTGTGGCTTTTTTCCTTTTTTTTTTTTTTTTTTTTTTACTGTTTGCGAGAGGTTTCGCCCTTCCCCGAAGTGAGCTGCCCTCCTGGCCGAAACCCGTGCAGCACAAGGTGGGTTTGCCCGACCAGCAAACCCCCGACCCACCAGGGAACAGCCGCCCGCCCCCTCTCGCCGGGACAGGGGTGTCCCCGGGACTGGCGGTCGGGTGGGTGGCTGGGTGGGCTCCACGCAGCCCGGCACTTACTCACTCACTCACCCAGGTTGACGAAGCTCATGACCATGTCGGCGTCGTTGAGGAAGGCGCTGTCCTGCGGGCTGGGTAGCGGCGGCGGGGCGGGGGGCGGCGGACGGCCGCCCCGCTCGGTGCCCGTGCTGCCCTCCGCGCCCTCGGCCAGGGAGTGGTAGAGGTCCAGCATGAAGCGCGGTGCCGCCGTCAGCCGTCCCGGCGGCGGGGCCGGCGGCTCCCGCGGCAGCGGCCGGGGGCGGTGGGGCAGCCCCAGCACCGACAGGATCTCCCGCTGCATCTCCCGCTTCTCGTGCGACTTCAGCCGCCGGTAGAGGAAGCCCGAGGCGGCGGCGGGCGGCGGTGGCTCCCCGCCCTCCGCAGGCAGCGCGGGCTCGGCGGGGCGGCAGGCGCCGCTCAGCAGCGCCCAGCAGCAGCACAGCCAGGCCAGCCGCCGCGGCATGGCGCTCGGCCGGGCGCAGGCAGCCAAGGTCCCCGCTCCCCGCTCTCCCCGGGGGCTGCCCAGCGCCCTCCAGCCCTGCCCCCCCGCGGCAGCGGGGATCGCCCGGGCCGGCGGGGGGCGGCCAGGCCAAGGGGGCTCAGCGCTCGCCCCCGCCGCGCATGGCCGCCCGCGGAGCACCGCGGTGCGGACCCCCCTGCCGCCGCTGCCGCCGCTCAGGTGCGGCGGGGCCGCCCCCGGCCCGGTCCGGGCGCTCAGTTCGCCATGCCCCTGCCCGGGGGATCCGCGCCGGGCCGCGGGCGCTGCGTGTGGGGGGAGAAGGAGCAGGGTGAAGAGCTGCGAACTTTTCCCGCTGCCAGGGAGCAGAGCGAGCGAGCGAGCGGCTCCTGCGGCTGCAGCCCCGGTCCCCGCGGGCTGGCCGGAGCGCGGCTGCTGGCGGCGAAGGCAAATCACCAGCGCGCCCGCCTCTCGGCGGGGCGGGCGGCCGCTCCTCCGGGGCGGGGAGCGGGCGCAGGTAGCGCGGCCCCGCGGGGGCGGCCGGGCGGGGCGGGCGGCGGCGGAGCAGGTTCAGGAGCGCCGGCCCCGTCGGTTGTCATCGGCTTGCTGCGCTTGGAGCGGCGCTCCGCCGAACAGCGGCACCAGCCGCCTCTGCCGTGCGACTCTGGCGGCTTGTTTCTTGTTAAAGGGAGGATTTCGGCCACCCCTCCTGGCCTCAGGGTGTTGGCTATATGTATATAGCGGGTGTTGGCTTTTTATCCTGAAAATAGGTGGAGTGCTACCTGTTCTAAATCTGATGAAGCGTTACGGTTCTCTTTAACAGGTTACAGCATCCCACACAGCTTTTTCTGGAGTATCTTGCAGAACTGATCATGGAATATTGGTAAATGGCTAGGTACAGGTACCCCCTGACAGCCCTGATCAGTGGAGTACCTGTCTGCATACTGTGGGGCAGGTTATACTGCCATAAAAGAACATACCCGTTCCTACAGTAAGGTTGCAACTCTGATATCATCACTTCAATCAAAGGGGTGGGGAAAAAACATGCCACCCAACGCTATAATAAGAGCAGTTTGGTTGAGCGAGAAGCAGCTCTTCCATATCCTGATCTCTGACTTCATGGATCTCGCTCAGGTTGGATGACTAAATCCAGACTAGTCTCGCTGAAATCAGTGCAATTGCTCTAGGTTTGAACTGGGATAATTTCAGAGGAGTTGGCCCTGAGAATAATATCTGGACCATTTGAAGTCACTGGCAAAATTTCCATTAAATTTATTAGAATCAGAATCTGGCAATAAGCTCATATTCAGCTTCCCAGAGACACAGCTGAGAATATTCAAGACAGAATATGTTATTTTCAGAAGTGGAGGTTACACTGAGTGTTCAGTTCTGTGAAAGCAAGGTTACAGATGTTTGTTTTAACTGCACCAGTCAAGGAACACTGTAATACTGGGTATTTTAAAGCTTGTTTTGGAAGGAAAAAAGGCATCTTAAAGGAGACAAAGTGGGAGGGAAGAGTATGGAAGTTACTTTTGCAACTGTTCTTTTTTCAGTTTGTGAAGACACTCAGAATTTGAAAATGTGGGTGTATGTGACAGCACAGACTCAACATGATCCCTTTGCTATAGTGGATCCCATAACCTTCGTGAAAGAGGTCTGTGTCACCTACCAGGGACTCAGGAAGGCAGTGTCTAGGGAAACCTTCGCACTGGTGATTCATTTATCCACCTTGCTCAACATAGAGCAATGAGGTTGGTTTTATTAAATGGGGAAATGAGGGCTCACTCCCGGAGAGGAGGTGAGCAACACACCTCTCCTTCTGCAAGATAGTGTGGGATCCTGCTGGGAAAACCCAGGATCCCAGGAGGAGAGCCTGTTGCACAAGCTGTCCCCTTGATGGGCCGAGAGGGATGAAGGACAGTTTGTAGCCTCTTAGGAGGGACATTTGGAGGCTGGGAGGAAGTGCAGGATCCCTGATAGTGAGGGTTATTTCCCAGGCAGGTAATTACCCTGCAGGTGGTGAGAGAGGAGAGCAGCTACTTCCCACAGCCATTCGCTTCCCAGTCCCTGAGCCTATTAGGCTGTAGTTCACGTTACTGTCTCCAGAAGAGCTTTGTAGCCTCCACTTTCTGTTTGGACAAGAGAGGGAAGTGCCCCATTGTACGGTTATCGCTGAGGACTGAAGCTTTCCATCTGAAGTGTCCCCTGCTCCTCTTGAAGTCAGGAAGAGATGATGCACATCTAGCAATAGACAGTGTTAAACTCCAGGGCAGCACTTGGGTATTCCTGCTTCTCTGATGCTCAAGTATGTATCACCCTTACATTTTTAATCTGAAAGAAAAATATTTGAAATATTGCCATTTGCATAGGGATTACTGCAATAAACAGCAGCTGTGATAACAGTTGGCAGCATTTGGGCACCTAATTTTGATGCTGTCTGCATACAGGGACACACAACAAACCTTCCAGTACTTCCCTGTTAAGTTACCTTATATTTGAGGTAAGTTCCCTTGTGTAACTAGGAAGCTAATACCCTCCTTATGAAGTCGTTGCACCTTTTGTTAAGTTTAATTTAAGTCTTTCACTTTTTTTTTTTTAACAGTGCTTCACAGAGTTGTACCTTACTTATGCTTGGAAATGCCTCTTGCCTGTAGATGTGAATGCTTCACTGTGGGATTCAGCTAGCGCTGTCAGACCTAGGAAAGTTATAGCATCAACTCAGCAGCTCACTGAGGGTGAAAAGAACTAAAGTCTTCCTACAGAGATCACCTGCAGTGACAGCTTTCGGATATTCCTGCCGTCTGAAAGGACAAGTTTCTCCAAAGGATTTTAAGACTTTGGATAAGAGCTGCATGCCTAATTCTCTGGAGGAGAGCAAAAAAAGGATGTGTATTTGACAAATGCTGCAGGCTGAGACATGTTTTAAGAGTTAGCTACACACATATTATAGCGCTACTGGTAGAATTTTTTGCTTGCCAAGAAGCCTCCGTAGCGTATCTGCCATCCAAAACTCAGTGGTAACATGTAATTTCCCTCGAACTTTCTTTCACTGTCATATCTTCAAAAATGCTTCGAATACAGGCTTCTGGATATCGCACAGGTCATTAGTTTTCCCTGCTCATGACGGACATCTGGTGGCAAAGTGGAGAAACTGGGGTCTGTTCCTAGAAGTTTCCCTCATTGGCAAGTTAGCAATAAGACATTTTTTTCTTTCTCTCTCAAAACAAACAAACAAACAATTTAAAAAAACCCAAACAAATGAAAACAAACAAAAACCTCACCCCAAAACCAAACATAAACAAACCCCTATATAATGCAAACAGGTCTCCTACCTCACCCAGAACAATCCTTATTTCATTTTCTGCCCCCAAGCCAACCTTTAGTCTGTATTCAAAACACCGCACCTGCTGAGTGCTTTGTGAAGAACGTCTTGTACACGTGACCCTGAACAGAGCCTGTACCCCACAGTACACCCACTCCAAGTGTGGTGTGGTGCTAGCAAGGATTAACTGCAGCAGTTAAGTTTTTCAGCAGTGACAGTGTTTAGGTTGTATGCAATTAAAGGTTGGACTACCTAATTCCAGTCAAGAAGGATTCGCTGGGTGTAAGGGTCCAATAAAGCTAACATGATCCCAGATATGGGGGTAAAAACCGGAATCTTTATTGAACACGCGAAGCGCTTATTTAAGAGTCTTGGGGGCTTAACATGCTAATAAGGAGGCAGGGTTATGCCAAATAGGGGATTCCACAATCTATTAACATTTCCAGTAAGAGGGGTTATATAAGGGAAATTCTCGGATCCAGTATTTACATGTGGGGGGAATAGGATTTGATATTTCCAGTGAGCAAGATTACACTGGGGAAGGGTGGTCAGCTTTTCCCGAGATAAGGATTACACCGGGAGGGGAGAAAACAAAGGGATATCTGTAGGGACCGCTAGCATCATGCAAAGTCTCTCCACATCCTGCTGGGGGAGATCAGGACAATCCACACGAAATGAATGTCAATGGATCTTGTCTGGTCCTTTAGATGGTGTTTTTTTCCCCAGCCTCTGTGACCCAAGGTTTCCTGTTTAATCCTAGCAGTTCCTTTTCTGTTGGTATCCGAATTTTGGACTGCAGCAGCTGGGATTTCAGTTGTTTGCATTTATCAAATCATTCCTTGCTCTTATTTAAGCAAGTTAGGTTTCTTGGTTGTTTTGTGCAAAAGTTGTGAGGAGCAATTCCAGGCATATGAAGCACTGAAATGGTAGATAGGTAATTAACTTTAGTTAGAAGCCTTCAGAATGAAAAGAACCAAACAACAAAATAATAATAATAAAAAAAAAAAATCCAGAATTTCTGTCACTATGCCTTAAAATACACCATCTCATCTGTGCTCATGAGGAGGTCTACGCAAAATCTTCGTCATTCCTCTTAGGTGTACAGCTTCCCAGGTACCAGGATTACATGACTATAGAGAATGATACACCTTGAATTTCATTTTTCTCTGGACTAATAATATACTGCTGAACAGAGCACAGAACTTACTGTTCTAGTGACCCCTTCTCCATCTCCTGAAAACAGAAAAGTCACAACTTTGCATTCACACCTTCCCTTGAGATGAACCATTGGCTACCAAAGTGCCTGCAACAAACCCAGACTCCTATGCTTACGGGGTCAGCAAGGACACTGCAGTAAGGGCAGCTTTAGTCCTCACGCTCATTTTGCCAAACAAAGCAGGTACTTTTTTAAAGCAATGTGGAAGAGATGTAAGTAATGACATTTGCTTTCTAAAAAAACCCAAACCCTATATTGTACAATAATGACATAGCTGGAAGGAACTATTTGCAGTGCTGCGCTTGGAGAGGTTGAAAATGCAAACATGCCTCCTAATTTTAGTGTACAGGTTTCCAAGGTCTGCTTGTGCAATGAGAAGGAGTGGTTGAGTATAATCTTAGTTTAAAGATTGAAGCAGGCTAAAAACAGCATTTGCTATGAAAGCTCAAATTTTTCCTTCTGCTTGCTGAACGAACTTTCTCCACTGCAAGTAGGGGCAGTTGAAAAATAGTAACATCATCTTATTTGCACATAGCAAACCACTACTTTCTTTACTCAGAAATCTGATCTAAAAATATGCAATGATGATTTCCCAGATCAGAACACTTTAAAAAATGGTTATAAATATTAATTCAGTAACACAACTGGACTGCTATCCTTGCAAAAGCAAACAGTTAAAAGTGAAGTAAGTCCCAGTATGCAGTTCACAAACAATTCCAACTCTGTTCCAACCCTGGCCACCATCTCCACCCTATCAAGGATGTACTTATGTGTGAACAATTAAAGCTTAAAGTTTATTTGAAGTCAACAATATCCAGTATTAAGGGAAACTGACCTGAAATGGCAGCAATTAAATAAATATTAATATATTGTATTGCTGATATAATTTCTC